TACTTAACTTAGTTGAGTTTCGCTAACCTTGCAGTAGCTGCAGCTCTCTCAATCAAAGTGTTTAAAAACCCAAGTGGCTCTCTTGCAAAATTAGTGAATAAAACTGGACTAAATGATACATGTCAATACTTACAAAACTAATATAAAAATCAAAGCAAATGTATTATGAAAATAGATTTTATTGAAATAAAAGGTAATATGAAAAGAACCTGGCAAACCCTTTCTGAAATTTTGGGCTCTAGAAAAACTGTCTAGAACAGAGACAAACTTAACTAAACCAAATGAACCTCACATACATCCTATAGACATGGCCAACAAACTTAATGGCTTCCTTCTTACTGTAAGATCAAAGCTAGCAAGCAAAATTCCCAAAAACAAATACTCAGCGAAAGAATTACCTCGCTGACAACTACCCAAATACTCCTATCTAGCTTCAATTAATTTACTGAAGTCTCACTCATCATTAAATCTTTAAAAAAACAAAGCACGAGATCTAAATAACTTGCCACCATTCATAAATAAAAAAGCAGCTCATGTGCTGTCCCCCCATTATTGCAACACTGTTTAAAAATCTGTAGAGTCCTCAATTTTCTCAACCATACTCAAGACAGCAAGAGTTACCCCAATACTCAGAGGAGGTAATCAGATTGATTTGAACAGCTATAGACGTTACAGCAAACTTGCCCTTATTTCTATTAAAAAAAAAAAAATACTTTATGCCTACTTTATACCCAACAACATACTTAACCCCTGCCCGTTTAGGTTTAGACCCAAAAAAGTTCGAATGTGCTGTTATACAAATGCTCGAACTATTATATACAGCCCACGATAAAAAATGAATATCCCCTGGGGCTTTTCACTGACCTATGGAAAGCATTTGATAAAGTGGACCACAATCTCCTGCACCTAAAACTAAATAATTATGGCATCAAAGACATTCTCTCAGTTACCTAAAATCTTACTTAACAATAGACAACAGTCTGGCTGGATAGTGGAGTCAACTCCCCTATCCAGCCTGTACTGTGAGTGCCCCAGGGTAGTATCCTAGACCTATCCTCTTTCTCATCTAGATCAATGAAACTCCCCCAAAGCATCTCAAACTCCTTAAACCAGTTCTAATTGCAGATGACACTACTTAAAGTCTACTCTCACTCAAACCCAGCTATACTTAGAAACACTGTAAACAACGAGCTGCTAAAAATATATATATATGTACTTGGGTGATGACCAACAACTCACTTTCTACATAGACAAAACATACTTCATGCTCTTTGGAAAAAAGAGCCTTAAATATCCAACTTAATATATCAATAAATGGTTCCCCCTCACAAGACACACTGAGGGTAAATTTCTAGGTCATCACCTTGATTGTAACCCTTAAATTTCATTCTCACATCCAGCTATATTCAAGAAAAATTTTTAAATCAGTAGACCATCCTTTCCAAGATATGGTATAAAGTACCCCAAATGACACTCCTTACCCCATACCACTCTTTAACCTGTTAACTGTCCAAAAGTAGATCTACATTCGCTCGCCCAGTGCTCGAATATTTTTTAAAAAAAAAAATCCTTTTTTTTTAAATCAAAAAGGGCAATTTTCTGTGTGTAATAAGACCAAAAAAAAATTTTAGGACCAGTACTTACTGAGATATAAGCCCGTGATGTTGGCAATAGATGCTCACCTGATGGCAACATGGAGTCCTGCTGCTTGCAGAAGTGTTGCCAGTATACCTTTTCACTAGTTTTTATATTATTTTATATAATTTTTATGTTCTGATAATTACAATTTATAGTAGTTCTGACACTAACATTAGGTACCGAAATTGTACTCAAATTGTCACTAACACACTGACAGGTGAACATTTACCCCTGCCTTGGTCAGGAATATATACAAAGTATTTATAGGTCCCAGCAATGTTTTAGACACACTGGAGCATACATGTAACTCCTCGAAGCATTGTGTTAAGATGAGTGTTAAACTGCTGACAGGGTAAGCAGTGGAGTGACACGATGATCATACACTGCTACATGGAACCCTGGCTATTGCTTTCACTGTTACACATAAACATGTCTGTCTGTCTGTCTAGCTATGTCTGTTTATCCGGCTTTCTGTCTGCCTGAGTGTGTGTCTGTCTTTCTGTCTGCCTGTGTGTGTGTGTCATTCTGTCTGTCTGCTTGTGTGTGTCTTTCTGTCTACTTGTCTCTTGTCTCAAAGTTGCTCATGAACCAACTGGTATTACACACGATCATATCTTATTCCTGAACAAGTGAAAGTGCATATTACTTGCCAGTTGCCAGTCATGCTTATTATGCATTATATCTACAAGCACAGTATAGCACTGTGTCTGGATTTTTTCGGTTATCCTAGGTAATTCACACTATGTTTAACTGTATTTACGTATGTGTACCTGTGAGATAGAGACAAATAGACAGAGACAGAGAAAGTGATAGACAGAGATAGATACAGACAGACAGAGACAGCCAATCAGCTAGCCAGCCACTGGCCAGCCAGCCGGTGGCTGGCCGAACCAACAGTATTACACGTTCTGGGATTGTTTCTTTTAGACGACACTACCAGTGGTACCAAAACTGAAAGGGTGTTGCACATGGGTTATTATCAAGGTTTTTGATATTTCTCGCGACCACTTGTGGCCACATTCACCTCAAAGCCCCTAAACTCAGGGTCAACATCACTTGCCTCTTAAAAAGGGAGTGTTAATACAACATGACATCAGCGAATCCTTGGTGTTTGCCGCGCTGTTTGCTCTAACTGGCACTCAATTGAACTGGTGCTCCCATAAGGTACTAAGTGGTCCCATATTTTTTTAATACTGCACACACCGAGTGTCAAGACCCAATCTACGCTGACCTGACATCTCAGGCCAATCGTGCCAAATTTGGAGGCAGGATAAATAAAACACAGGTCTACGTTCGAAGCACTAGCGGTAAGAGCGTAGATCTATGTTTGGACAGTTTAACGGGTTAATATATCCCTACTTCACCTATGGCATTTGTGCCTGGGGATCAACCACAGCCAACCACCTAAACCTTTAATAACCCAACAAAAAACTGTTGTGCAGATGATTACCAGCTCCTGTGCCAGACAACACACCCCACCACTTTTCAAAAGCCTGAACCTACTAAATGTATGAGACACACACTCATATTATTGTGCCTGCTATATATACAGAACATTAAACTCCAATATAAACCATCCACTTAAACCTCTCCTTGATAGCTACAACAGAACACACAGTCACAATACAAGGCACAAGGCACTCTTCGACATCCCTCGTGTCAGTCTCACACCATGGAAAAATGCAATGCACAAAAAGGGCCCGAAGATCTGGAATTCACTACCTGAACCAATAAAGGAACCCCAACTACAAAGAAATTTAGGGTTATGCTTAAAAATCATCTCATCTCTCAATACTAACCAAACCAACCAAAACAACTTCTAATCAGTTTGAAGCAGCTCTTCCAAATATTATATGACCTCTAGTCCTAGGTAGTAGGTTGGTAGACAGCAACCTTTCAGGGAGGTACTACCGTCCTGCAAAGTGAGTGTAAAACGAAAGTCTGTAAATGTTTTATACGATAGTAGGATTGCTGGTGTCTTTTTTTGTCTCATAAATATGCGAGATTTCAGGACCGTCTTGATATTTCTACTTACATTTAGGTCACGCTATAAATACTTCAAGAGTGTATCAGTCAGTAGTGGAAGGAAGGCGGGGTAGGGGTCGGCCTAGGAAAGGTTGGAGAGAGGGGGTAAAGGAGGTTTTGTGTGCGAGGGGCTTGGACTTCCAGCAGGCATGCGTGAGCGTGTTTGATAGGAGTGAATGGAGACAAATGGTTTTTAATACTTGACGTGCTGTTGGAGTGTGAGCAAAGTAACATTTATGAAGGGGTTCAGGGAAACCGGCAGGCCGGACTTGAGTCCTGGAGATGGGAAGTACAGTGCCTGCACTCTGAAGGAGGGGTGTTAATGTTGCAGTTTAAAAACTGTAGTGTAAAGCACCCTTCTGGCAAGACAGTGATGGAGTGAATGATGGTGAAAGTTTTTCTTTTTCGGGCCACCCTGCCTTGGTGGGAATCGGCCAGTGTGATAAAAAAAAAAAACAAAAAAAAAAAAATACATGCATGTACAAGCATATATATACATATACCCTTCTGAGTTTTCTTCTATTTTCTTATTAGTTCTTGCTTATTTCCTATCTCCATGGGGAAGTGGAACAGAATTCTTCCTTTGTAAGCCATGCGTGTCATAAGAGGCGACTAAAATGCTAGGAGCAAGGGGCTAGTAACCCCCTTCTCCTGTATATATTACTAAAATTAGAAAGAGAAACTTTTGTTTTTCTTTTTGGGTCACCCTGCCTCAGTGGGATACAGCCGGTTTGTTGACAGAAGCAGCAAATGACCTCTAATTAGCAGATGTTAATCCATAAAATATTACTGTTTGAACCATTATTTGTAATATTGTTTGTATTATGTGCAACAGCAAGATTATTCTTATAAACCTCCACCCTGACTACCTCACATTAGTATTAAGATAAAATAAAGGTTCATTAAAAAGTTAACCACTCTTATCTTGTCTAGACTTAAGTAGCTATTATGTACTAGGATTAGTCTGCCTGAAATGTCCCAGCATGATGGTGACTTTCTTTGTACTTAACAAATCAAAATTGTAATTACACAATGTAACCTTTGCAAAGAAATAAAACCTTATTCTTTATTTTTTAGTACATATCTGTGACTAAGAGCTTGCCACCACATGTCCAGTACATACCTGTGACTGCTTTCAAGGTTTCTTTCCTACACATGCAGCCTAGCTTGAGGTCAGACTTCCTTGCTGACTGCCTGATCAACCAGACTGTTGCTGCCAGTAGCCTTCAGGCCTACACAGCCAACACAAAGACTGGCAAAATACTCTGCCATTTCAACATAGATAAGAAGAGAGGAAGAGAGATAAGACTGGTGCTGGTGCTACAAAGAGACCTCACCTGTGCAAGCAGCTCAGGACTGGCCCAGTTAAGATTGTAGCGTGCCTGGGGAGGATAACAATGGACGGTTTTCTGCAGTCTGGTGCTGTCCATGATGCAGGTGCTGTGACGCAACCCACTCAGTGCTACCCGACCTATACTGTCTATTAATATATGACTTCCTCTCACCGCCCTGAAAAACACAGAGTTAAGTTATAAAAAAAATTGCATTTACAAAAATAGCTGAGTACAGTAAAACTTCATTTAATAGATGGCAGTTTAATGCATTTCAGATCTTAAAAATTACAGACTTGTTTGTTATTTTTAAGTACACTGTATTTCCTGGATAAATTTATTTTGGATTTAACCCTTTCACTGTCCAGATCCCCGACCTAAAATCTGTACACAATATCCAAGAATTTAAAAAATAAAATTGTTATTTTTTTCTTATGAAATGGTAGAGAATTTTTTTCTGGAGGCAATAAAACAAAAACTACAATATTTGATGGAAAACTGACATAATTACACCTTTGTGAATTCTGCTGCATCAGTGATATTTACGCATTGGCGATTTGCCCACTGAGCCCTATTTTAGGCTAATTACATTGTTTCAACTGACCAAATTCTTAGCTATTTCACTAGTATGTCTTCCATTTTATTGACTGAGCACAAGAAATTGCCCATTGAACTATTTCAACTATCCAATAAAGTGAGCAGAAATTGGTAATTTGGCCAATTTCACATAAATTTCAAAATATTCCAATTTCAAAATATGGTTTAGAATAAACAATGCAGATGCATTCCTGTTCATTAATTACATTCTCAGGCTTTACACATGAATTCCATTTTGATTTTTTCTCACAAAAATATAAGATTTACTGTCATGTAATATTTTAATAATAAACATCAGTGCATTCGTGAATGCATATTAGATCCACCAAGTGACGTGATTTGTTTACTTGTGAAATCGGCAAAAATC